TATATGAAAAGATGCATAACTTCCCTATGAAACAATATTTCTCTAAATTCTCTAAATTAAACAAGGTATTTTTCCTGCCTTTTCAGATTGGCAAACTTATTTTTTTTAAGTTTATTTATTTATTTTGAGAGAGAGTGTGTGGGAGGGGTAAAAGAGAGAGAAAGAGAGAGAGAGAGAATCCCAAGCAGGCTCTGCACCATCAGTGTGGAGCCTGATGCGGGGCTCAAAATCATGACCTCAGCTGAAATCAAGAGTTGACCACTTACCCAGCTGAGCCACCCAGATGCCCTGAGATTGGGAAACTTTAAAAACTAATTGTATCATAGAGGGTCTGGAAGGCAGCAGACAGGCAGGGTGGATTTGGAAGAGATTTTGTTGGCAGGATTATATACAGAGAGGCATGAATGGAGCTAGGGATTCTGTAAAAGACATTGAGGTATAAAGAAACTAACGGTGGGGAGTCATTACCACCCCCAAGCCTAAATAAGCAAGGGAAGGAAACCAAGTTACAGGAGCCCGGTTGAAAGAACTCCTGGATATTAGCCACAGCCATACAAAGACACACCCTCTGCTGGAACAATAGCAAACCAGGAACCTGGGAAAAACAAATAGCTCAGCATCTCTCTCTTCTCAGCCTCAGAAGACAAGAATAATTCAGTCTGTAAATGTCAGACTCCAAGAGGCACAGAGAAGACCAGAGAATGGAATTGGAGACCATAATCAGCACTTTGATGATACTGCATCTGAGAGAAAAACAATAACAACTAACAGCTTTTAAGCACAAGGGTTGAGGGGATAGTGTTATCATCATCATCACCCCCATTTTATAGATAGGAAGACTGAGGCACGGAAGTGTTATACTATTTGCCCAGAGTTCACACAGGGGATCTGGGCTTTGAACCCGGGCAGTCTGGCACGCTAGAGCCCAGGTTGCCTACCTTGCCTCTCGTTTGCCCTCTCCCCTGCTGGGGAAGTATATATTGATGCAACAGTTTGAAAGGGCAATTTGAGGGGCACCTGGGTGGCTCAGTCAGTTCAGCATCCGACTTTGGCTGAGGTCATGATCTTACTATTCGTGGATTCCAGCCCCGTGTGGGGCTCTGTGCTGACCACTCAGAGCCTGGAGCCTGCTTCACATTCTGTGTTTCCCTATCAGTCTGTCCCTCCCCTGCTCGCTCGCTCTCGCTCGCTCTCTCTCTCTCTCTCTCTCTCTCTCTCAAAAATAAATAAACATTTGGGGCACCTGCATGGCTCAATCGGTTAAGCGTCCGACTTCGGCTCAGGTCATGATCTCACAGTTCATGGGTTCGAGCCCTGCGTTGAGCTCTGTGCTGATGGCTAGCTCAGAGCCTGGAGCCTGTTTCTAACAATTCTAACGCCAAACTGAACCCTGCAGAGAATGAGCCTGGGGGTTAGGCCAATGACCAGGGCGTCCATCTGAAGAGGAGGAAATATTTGCAGCCCTGGAAACATTTTCTACTCGGTAGTCACTGTCTGTTCCCTGGGCCCTCACCCTCCTTAGATCTCTGGCTATGGCAGATGCAGCTTTTCTTATTGCTTTTTGACCTGGGGGTTCCAGCCAAAGATGTCCTAACCAGTACAACTTGGCTGCCATTAAAAAAAAAAAGGCCGGGGGGTGGGGGGTGAGGGCACCTGGGTGGCTCAGTCCGTTAAGCATCTGACTTCGGCTCAGGTCATGATCTCACCGTTCGTGGGTTCCAGCCCCGCGTAGAGGGTGGGGCTCTGTGCTGACAGCTCAGAGCCTGGAGCCTGCTTAGGATTCTGTCTCTCTGTCTCTCTATGCTGTCTCCTGCTTGCACTCTTGTCCCTCTCTCTCTCTCAAAAATAAATAAACATTTTTAAAAATGCATTTTAATCAAGTACAACATCTCTCATAAAGTAGTGTTGCAGAAAAATAAATACAATCCGAATCTGATCAGTTTTCCAGATCCAGTATTAATTTACACAGTAAATTAATGGAACACAGTAACATAGAACATAGTCTGCAAAATAACAGGGAAAAAACTCGAGATGGAGGGGAATCTATAGATCCAAAGGGGCCTAAAAGATCTATCAACCAATCCCAGTTGTGGCCATTTATTGGTTCCTGACTCTTCGTACCTCAGGTTGATGGCATTTATGAGACAACTTGAAATTGGAACATTGAGTAAGATAACTGATAATATTAAGGAATTATTACTTCTCTTTTTTAAAAGTTTATTTATTTATTGAAGTCCTCTCTCCACCCAACGTGGGGCCCAAACTCATGACCCCGAGATCAAGAGTCACATGCTCTTCCCACTGAGCCAGCCAGGTGCCCCAGGGAATTATTACTTCTTAAAATGTGTAAATCATATGGTGGTTTATGTTTAAAAAACAAACAGGGGTGCCTGGGTGGTTTAGGCAGCTGAGCATCCGACTTCGGTTCAGATCATGATCTCACCGTTCGTAGGTTCGAGCCACCCATCAAGCTCTCTGCTATCCTCTATCCCCCTCTCTCTCTCAGCTCCTCCCCTGCTCATGCTCTCTCTCTCTCTCTCAAAAATAAACAAACATTAAAAAAAGAAAAAGAAAATCACCCCTCAGAAATACCTTCGTTCTCTTGAAAAAACAGCAAAGTTTCCTTGACTTCCCATCTCCAAAGACAGACCACCCCATTTCCCTGCTCACCCCTGATTTTGCCTCCTCCCCTCCCACATGCCAATCAGCCTCTCCTGTCTGCTCCCACCCCCACTCCTTTGCCGCTCCAGGTGGCTCCTGGCAAGGTCCCCAATGTCCTCCAGGTTGCCATGGCCAGCGGTCACTTTTCTATCCGGAGGTTACTCTCAGCAACTTTTGACATAGGTGATCGCTCCCTCCTCCTCCCTCCCCTGCTTTCCTCCTCCTTCTGTGACCCGCTGCTCATCTTTCTTCCTGGGTCCTCTATGGGTCCTGGGCCCTCTACCCTCCTTCTAATGCACTGTTGAACCCTTTGATTGTTTCACCCACAGCCATGGCTGTAACACCTCCTCTCCGGTGAGCTCCCCATGCATGTGTCTAGCTGCTCTCTTGGATGTCACGAGGTAGTGGAGCGCAGTGGTTAACAGCGTGGCCCTGGAGCACAACCAGCTTTGATCAGATCCTGGTGCTGCAGCTTCCAAGCTTTGTGATGGTGGGCAGTTAATTAACCTCTCTGTGGCTCAATGCTCTCCTCTAGAGAGGGATCAATAAGTAATACAGCCATTAATGGGATGAAATGAGTTAATGGGCATAAAACACTTAGAACAGTGTTTGGCAAATGTTAAGCGCTCCATAAATGTTTATTATGATATCTCATGGGCATCTCAAAGTTAACATGGCTCAAGTAGAACTCTAGATTGTTCCTCCCTACTCGTATCTCATAGAGGGGAAAAAATGTTCCTCTCCAGCCTTGCCCAGCTCACGGACCGGCACAATTACCCACCCATGCGGTCTGTCCAGAAGCCTGGGAGTTGTCCTTGACTTTTCTTTCCCTCACACCATTTCCCTCTCTATCCAGCCAATTCTTCATCAAATCCCGCTGATTCTAACTCCAAAACATATCTCAGATCTACCTCTCTCTACCTCGATGGCCACCTCCCAGCCAGAAGTTGGTATCATGTCCTAACTGGACAACCACTGTAATGTCCAAGCTGATTTTCTTTCCTCTCTTCCATGTGCCCTTCGGTCTGTGCCTCTCCACTCCCCTGTGCAGCCAAAGAGTCCTATAAAAATGTCAATCATGTCGAGGCAGCTGGGTGGCTCCGTTGGTTAAGCATCCACCTCTTGATTTCGGTTCAGGTCATGATCTCGGGGTTCATGGGATCGAGCCCCACATTGGGCTCTGCATTGACAGCGTGGAGCCTGCTTGGGATTCTCTCTCTCTCTCTCTCTCTGTCTATGCCTTTTCCCTGTACATGCTCACTCTCTCTCTCAAAATAAATATATAAACATTAAGAAAAAATGTAAATCATTTTTCCCTCCCTCCTTAAACCCTTCACTGGCTCTCATTTTTCTTAGAATAAAGACCAAATCCCCTCCCAGGCCCCTGCTTGGACCAACCTCAGGCCACATCATATATGCCTTTCTCTTCTTGCTTCCTCTGTGCACCTCAGGGCCTTTGCATACACTCTTACCTCTGCCTAGACCACTTTTACCCCTGGGGTTCATATGACTCCCTCTTTCTCATCCTTCAGATTTCACCTTACCAGCCTACTTAATATTGCTCAATCCAATTACCAGTACAAACAGTACCCTGCTCACTGAACTTAGCAACATTTATACTTACATATTTATTTCTTTGTTTATTTATTTACAGCCAGTCTCCCCCGCCAGACAGTAGAAAAGCAGAGAATTTGGGGTTCTGCCTTTTTGTGTTCCTTGAGGAACAGAGCCATGCAATTGCCATACCCCTAGCATTAAAAATCATAATTGGCGGGGGCGCCTGGGTGGCTTAGTCGGTTAAGCGTCCGACTTTCGCTTAGGTCATGATCTCGCGGTTCGTGGGTTCGAGCCCCGCGTCGGGCTCTGTGCTGACTGCCAGCTCAGAGCCTGGAGCCTGTTTCAGTCTGTGACTCCCTCTCTCTCTCTGACCCTCCCCTGCTCACGCTGTCTCTCTCTCTCTCTCCTGGAAATAAATAAAACATTAAAAAAAATTAAAAAAAAAAATCATAATTGGCGGGGTGCCTGGGTGGCTCAATTGGTTAAGCATCCAACTTCAGCTCAGGTCGTGATCTCACAGGTTCGTGGATTCGAGCCCCGCATCAGGCTCTGTGCTGACAGCGAGCTCAGAGCCTAGAGCCTGCTTCCCATTCTGTCTCCCTCTCTCTCTGCCCCTCCCCTGCACACGCTGTCTCTCTCTCTCTCAGAAATAAATAAAACATTAAAAAAATTTTTTTTAATCATAATTGGCATTAGCACGTGCTCAGTAAATATTTGCCAAATGAATTATTGGACTGTTGATTTAAAAGGAAAGTCAATTGTGGACGGATGTGCATGGCATTTTTGCAATTATGAAAGTCGGTCTACAAACTTCGACATGCTATGACGTTATCTGTGATGCTCCCCGTTCTGCCAAGGCCGCTGGAGACAAGTTGAACTTCAATCCTCCTGAGGTTGGGCCACACTTCCAAGATATCCAGCAGGGCCAGATTTGCTTGGAGGGAGCTGCTGACAGAGGGACAGGGTGGACAGTGTCAAGCCTTCATGCAACAGCGATGACTGCTGAGACATCGTCATCCTGATTCAATGGCTCCTTCGGTCGTGTGCCCTTACTGTGGTCTGCTTTGGGCTTGAGACCAGGGAAAATGTTACAAGCCGCCTGCCTAGTAGACCCATGAGCTGTTTCCTGTCTGGAGGGCCTGCCGCCTGCTTCTTGGGCCAAGAATTCCTCTAATTCGGGCCAAGCTCTTGTCTCTGCTGAGGAATTCTCTTCCCCTAAGGGCTCCAGCTTTTGAAACACACAAACCAGCTTTTCTGCTCTTGGGTCAGCCATATGCATCCCCAGGGGCAATGAGCACAGAAAAGTAGGGAAGCAAAGGAAGGAACCAACCAGATTAACACACAAGTACATTACATGTTTGGAAAAGATCCTGCCGTCCGCTGTGCGGGGAAATGACGAGAAAGGCCAAAAGGCCACTGAGGAGTTGGCCACCCTGGAGAGGTGGGGAGAGATGGGACTGAGGTGTTGGACAGGAGAGGGTGGATATCAGAGCTATTCGGAAGATCAAAATCAATAGGAACTAGGTGAGGGATGGGGTGGGGGTGGGGGAGGTAAGGAAGGAGGAGGCAGCTGGAGCCACACCTCAGATTCTGCCTTGGGAACAGGGATGGCTCTCCCACTGGGCATGATGTTCCCACCTCGTCCTCCATAAGCACTTTGCCCGGCCCCACTCCTACTCATCCTTTAGACCTCCATTCAAGCTTTGCTTCTGCAGAGCCACCCTACCTCACTCCAGGGCCAGTTGGATTCTTCGATGATACGTTCCTTCATTCGGATATTTACTGGGTGTGCGATGGAACATCCATTGTATCTTCCCCGCCCCCAGACTGTCAGGTCTGTGAGCAGATCCCGGCTCATCCTTGCAACCCCAGTGCCCAGCACATAGTAGGTGCTCAATAAATAAAGGCTCTGAAACGCAGGCAGAGGAGGACAGAGTGTATCCTGCAGGCTGGTGTTTCTCCAGGGGAGTGGAGGCTGCTGGGTAAAAAATACACAGACCCCCTCGGCCACCTCCATTCCTCACCCTCCTCACTTTAAGGTCTGTGCTTCTGATGAGATTGTTACTGGGGGGACAGTGTGCACATGAGTCTGGAGGTAGGGGAAAAGTTGACAAGGTTGCAGTTAGCAGGAGCCGTGGGCATTTCTGGAAAGGAGGAGTGAGTGGTTGAAAGCAGGCATGAAGCTCTGTGGGCCTGGCAGGAAGCTCAGTGGGGATGGGGGACAGGAGGGGCCTGGAGGTGGCAGAGAGGGCCCCCAGGGGTGTTCTGGACAGGATCAGGTAGAGTCCCCACCTTCTATCCATGGCCCGAGGGGCCTCCCCAGCCTGCTCTGAAGGAAATAAATACTCTACTCCATCCACTGCTTTGTAGTTCCTGGGTCTGCAGTTTTGCTCATGGCTCTGTCTGGAAAGGTGTGTGTCTAGAAAGGTCCATCGTAGAGGCTCCCAAGTTTCTGGTATTTTTGAAGGAATGAAAGAAGGAGTGTGAATGTTCTGGAAGGGCTTGGTAAATCTAAGGGAGGCACCGGGATTACCAGGCCCCTGTGGGAAAGGCTGCTGTGAGGATTAAACAAGATCACGTTTAAAAAAACCACAGGATCAAAATTTGAGAAGACAGAGCTGGGAGGGAACAGGAGGAGGCTGGGCAGGGAGTCACCTGGTGGCCGGGACCTCGCTCTCCCCACCCCCACCCCCCCAGGACCGCTTCTCGGGAAACCTCAAGGGGTCTCCTGGGAGCCCTGCCCCAGCACGACTGACACCCTCTCCCCACCCGGCCAGCAGGCAGGAATTTGCCCCGCTGACCTCCCCAGGCGTGCTCCTGTCGCCATGGCGACCAACCTGGAAACAAGCGGCCCGATTGTCCCTGCTCAGCGGGGCAGGTGAAACCCTGGCCACGTGACCGATACTGAGCCAGGTGCAGTGACGGGGACTCCCGCCGCCTCCCCGCCTTAACCCCTTCAGCGCCGCCTCCCCCAAGGGCGCAGGGTGCCAGCAAGCCGCAGGCCGCACCCCTGCGGGCCCTGGCTTCCCAGTCAGAAGGGCGAGGGCTGAATATCCAGAGCACTGCAATAGGAGTCACATTCCCGGGAAGGAATTCGGGCTGGGCCGCGCACGTGCTGAGTGACTGGAGCTGGGTCATTCCCCTCCCGCGTCTCTCTGTTCCCGGCAGTAAAATGAGGATGATAACACCCTCCCACTACACCGGGACTTGGAGATGGCTGGGAACAGGGCCGCTGGGAATAAAGAATCCCAGAGCGGTCCCACTCGGCACCCCTCTACCCTGGGTGACCGCAGCATCTCAGGAGCTCCGGAGGCCTCCCCTCCAACAGCTCACACGCCCCCAAGAGGGAGACCCTCACCAACAAACCGGTTAGAAGCTGGCCAGTTCCTATCAAGCTGCGGAGGGGTGGGCGGCCCCCAGGTTGACCTCTTCCCAAACACACCATCACCAGAGTCCTTCCCAGGTGGCAACCACCCCTCTCTCCTGGCCCCACCACTTTCTCTAGAGTGTTCAAGTGGAAACCTCAAGCCAACTGGTTTTTCTGCTTGTCGCTGGGCCCTAACCAGCCACGTGATGGGGCTTGGGCCCAGGTCTCAGGAATGTCTCCAGACTGCTTCTGCCATAGACGCAGGACTCTGGGCGGATGGTCAAAGGTTGTGGGCCAGGCTCAGGTTACCTGGCTAGACCGTAGGCTGGGGCAGCTGTGGGGGCTGCTTTGAAACCACGTTAGAAATACTACACTTCTGAATCACCAACACGATGTCAACCCCCGCCCCTTCATCTGCCAGTTCTAGAAAAACACGCTGCCTGGGGTCTCCTCTGAGACCCCGCCCATGCCTTGGCTCAGATGTCCTCATCACTCCCCTAATGACTATGCTGGCAGCAAATCGTCACACCACCTGGTGTGTTTAGCGTCCCCAGTGACCTCAAAGCCCTCCTCGCATTAGAACAAAACAACTGCCAGTCTGCAAGCTGACTCAAGGTGAAGGCCATTTAATGGGGCAAGGGATTTATTACACCTTAGAGGTAAGATGCATCCTACCAGGGGCGCCTGGATGGCTCAGTCGGTTAAGCGTCAGACTTCAGTTCGGGTCATGATCTCCCCATCCATGGGTTCGAGCTCCACGTCAGGCTCTGTGGGGACAGCTCAGAGCCTGGAGCCTGCTTCAGATTCTGTGTCTCCCTCTCTCTCTGCCCCTCCCCCACTCGCACTCTGGGTCTCTCTCAAACATAAAGATTTAAAAAAATTTTTTTAATGGGGCACCTGGGTGGCTTAGTCGGTTAAGCGTCCGACTTTCGCTTAGGTCATGATCTCGCGGTTTGTGGGTTCGAGCCCCGCGTCGGGCTCAGTGCTGACTGCCAGCTCAGAGCCTGGAGCCTGTTTCAGTCTGTGACTCCCTCTCTCTCTGACCCTCCCCTGCTCACGCTGTCTCTCTCTCTCTCCTAGAAATAAATAAAACATTAAAAAAAAAATAAAAAAAATTTTTTTTTTTAAAAGTTGCATCCTTCTGGTCCTGACTCCCATCAGGCCTGCCCTAAAGAGAGTCCTGGGTGGTCCAGATGTCATCTCCTGGAAGGGGCACTGACCCATCCACCAGGTGAACCTTCACCTAAGACTCAGCTAGTGCCCTGAATCTCTTCATGAGCATTCAGTAAAATGATTACAGTTGCACTTTGCACCAGATAAATGAAACAGGACTCCGGTCCTCCAGAACCCAGCCTCTGGGGGACACAGAGAAAGCCACTTCCAGAATACTGCATGGTAGTGCTCAAATGCTTTGAGAACATGGGGTAGAAGAGATAAGTGTCAAGTGGACATCTGGGACGGCTTTTGAGGAAGAGGAGGCAGTGATCCTGGACATTTATAGCTGTACAGGACTTGGGCCATTAGCTATCTGGAGGGCAGCCACCCCATCCCAGCAGAGGGAGTCCTTGGGGTAAAGACCAAAAGGAAGGTGTGCAATGCAGCTCTCTGGCTGGGGAGGAAGAGAATAGGAAGCATGCTGGAAAAGCAGGTATCATCAGACTGGAGGACGCTTGGGATGCTGATTCAACTCTCAGCTTTAGGGGTGGGGAGTTCCTAAAGGTTTCTGAGCAGAAGAATGCTGTAAAAGGAGCAGCTGGCTAAGACCTGAGACCATGCCACCACTGCCACCACTGACCCAGACTGGGGAGAAAAGATGGCAAATGGTCAGGCTTCCAAAGGTGGCTTTTTTTTAATTTCTTTTTTAATGTTTATTTATTTTTGAGACAGAGAGAGACAGAGTGCAAGCAAGGGAGGGGCAGAGAGAGACAGAATCTGAAGCAGGCTCCAGGCTCTGAGCTGTCAGCGCAGAACCCAATGTGGGGCTCGAACCCACAAACTGTGAGATCATGACCTGAGCCAAAGTCCAATGCTTAACCGGCTGAGCCACCCAGTTGCCACAGCCCCCCCCCCCCAATGGTGGCTTTTTAATGTGCAGGATGTGCTGAGTTCAAGGGTGGGAGGATCCTTTATTTTTCTGCTGGTAAAGAGGGGTGAGCACATCTGACCCATTTCAGCTCAATGACACCAAATACCCTCCAGTACAAACCCCTGGCCTCCCACCTTGATTTGCATCAAGAATAGCAGACCAAAGGGGCACCTGGGTGGCTCAGTTGGTTAAGCAGCTGACTTCGGCTCAGGTCATGATCTCGAGGTTCATGGGTTCCACCCCGCATCCGACTCTGTGCTGACAGCTCAGAGCCTGGAGCCTGCTTCAGATTCTGTATCTTCCTCCCTCTGCCTCTCCCCTGCTTGCGCTCTGTCCCCCCAAAAATGAATAAAAGTTTTTAAAAAATTTTTTAATAAAAAAAAAGAATGGCAGACCAAAAATAAATAAAAAGAATAGCAGCCCAGGCAGCAGTTCCGGTTCTGCCTCTTATACAAGCCATTTGCCTCAGTTTCCCCGTCTCTAAAGGGCGGGCATGGAGGATGGTTGGAGATAACCTCTCTAGAGTTTCCTCTAGCTCTTTCTAGAGTCAGGCCATCAGGATGGGTAAGAGGTACACCACCCTGCCTGCCTGGGCCCCCGGCGGTGGAGCACGACGCCTCCAAGCTGGCGCCTCGACGACGGTAGCCACTTTTGGCGCCTCTCTGTGCCCGCCCGAGGCACAGAAAGTATGGCACCCACCCAAGGAGGTGCGTGACGGCAGAGGAGCGGGCCAGGTGCGGGGTGTGCGCTGCCCAAAGGCAGGGCCTCCTCGGCTTGCCAAGGACCTTGCCCCGCGGCCGCCCAGGGCTCTCGCCCAAAATGCAGGACATTCCAAACGGCCGGGTTTGGACTCCCAGGCCACAGGACCCTGACTCTTCATGAGGATTCGGCGCCGGGACCGGGGGAAGGGGGGAGGGGTCAGGGGGGCTGGGCGGTGCTTCTCGAAGGGCGTGATCCAGGGCATTGGGTGGCTCCCCCGGGGCGTGGCGAGGGGCGGCTCTCTCGCCCGCCCGCGCGGTGGCTGAGGGAATTACGTGATGACGCAAGAGGCGGAGCTGGGGGAACAGACTGTACTATGGGATTACGTAAGGAAACGAAAAGGGGGCGGGGAACTCCGCGGTAGTGGGCGGGGCGGGAGGCGGAGCTGCAGTCGGAACTGGGCAGGGTTCTGAAACCGGGGGGCGGAGCCAGGGACAGGAAGAGGTGCGCGTGCGCCTGGTAGCTACTGCCGGGCATGCTCCGCTGGGCCCACTCCTGGAGACTCCCCCTTAGGGGGCTCGGGCCCTCCAGTCTCAGCTTCTCCAGGGTGCCCGTCGCTCCCAGCAGCAGTGGCCGAAGCGGTACCGAGAGGAGGTCAGTCAAGGGCGCCATGTGGGAAGCCGTCCATCGCGCCTCCTCGTTCGGCCCCGCCTCCTCCGCTTACGCCTGACCCTCCCCCCAGGCCTCGCCCCTAAACCCTATCCCCGGCGGTTTAGACCCCTCCTCCATCCATGCTTCTCCTGGCAGGTCGGTCCTGCTTTCCTACAAGCTTCTGGACGGAGAGGCGTCCCGCCCGGCCCTCGTGTTTCTGCACGGGCTCTTCGGCTCCAAAACCAACTTCAACTCCATCGCCAAGGCCCTGGCTCAACAGACTGGCCGGAGGGTGAGCTTCCGGGAGAGGCGGGGTCCCGCGGGAGGTGGGGCCTGGCTGGGCGGGGCTAGGGAGGTGGCCAAGACGGGGCCCGCTTTTCTGCCCTCACTACTGGACACCTGGCGAAGAGTGGCCGGTTTCTCTAAGCAGAAACGAAGAAGAGGTTGACCTTCTAAGGATGGAGGTCGCATGGCACACCGTGGCCCTATGTGCACCCCATTGATTACCTCGTGCTTGCATCCATCCAGTCCTTCATTCGTGTTATAGATCTGCAAGCCAGGTTCGCTGTCTAGTGCCTAAGCGCCAACAGCCTCCCTGCTAAGGGGGGCAGCCCCTCTTTGTTCACCAGGGTTGACGGGGCTTACCACCTTTTATAGCAGCCCATCCTTCTGTGCTCCAACTGTTTTCCACTTCAGGATCTTTCCCCAGGCTCTCTACCCCCCTCAGCCTGCAGGAATGCCTTGCCTTAGTCTGTCTCTGCCCTGAATGTTGGATGCCAGGTCTTCCCACCCTCACTCCACTCCGCAGGTGCTAACAGTGG